AGGCGGCGGTGGCGACGGCGGGGAGGTGCCCGCGCTCATCCCGGACGGCGAGCCGCTGCGAGAGGAGGTACGGGCGCTGAGTGATGGGGGCCGGAGCGGGGGAAGGGGTACAAGGGAAGGAGCGAATCCCGAGAACCGAGAACCGAGCTGAGGAGGAAAGTCCCGGAGCCACTGCGGCCAATGACGTCATTGGGGTAGCCTTCCTCCTGAGAGGGGTCTTGGGTCCAGGGTCCTGCGTGGGGCAGGTGGGAAGGGATGTGGGAGGCGACTCCCGCCCCCACTCCCAGCGCCCCCTTATCCAGCCTCATCCTCCTGTGACGTCAGCGCCTGGCCCCTCGTGTCCCCATTCCGCAGCCCCTCACGCCCAGGGCCCTGGGGTCAGGCCCCTAGTCTGGCCTGGCCACTCACGAGGTGCCCAGGCGGCGCCTGCAATGCAGCAGCAGTAGCGGGGACTTGGGGGAGGAGGGGTGGAGGTAGAAGGGGAAAGAAGAGAGGAGGCCTCTGGTACCCCTGCTCCCTTTCTGCAGTGAGGCCCCAGGGCCCATCCTGCTGGCTGGGACCCCCAGGATGGCCCCTCTTCAGCCCTGCAGGGGTGTGGGGTCCAGTGTGGGGTGTTGGGGTGATAGATGATGAGTGGGTCTGTGTGTGTGTGTTTGGGTGAATGTAGTGTGCTTGTGGATATGTGAATGCTGGTGTGTGCTCCCCACACCTCGGGTGGGAAATATGCACCCTCAAATCAGGTGAGGAGGGTCTGATGCGTCCCTTGGCTTGGGCGAAGTGGTCATGTGTGAGTGCATGTGAGTGCATCCTGTCGTGGGTGGGTCTCCTGTAGAGTCTGTAGGGTGTGGGTGTCAAATTGCAGTAGGGCTGGGGGTGGATGATGTGCACTGTGGTCAGGTGAGTCCCTGGGCTTCAGTGAATGTGTAACGTGTGTGCACGTGTGCGTGTCCCATGGTAGAGGGTGTGGGTGCGTGCCCACCTGTACACCATGTTATGGTGTGGGGATGGGGTTGTGTCCTGGGCACAGGTGAGTGTCTGGTGTATCTTGGATGAACAGGCAGCTTGCACATCTGTGGTGGGTGGGTCTGTGATGAACACGTGGGGTGGGGGTTGGGGGCGAGTGGCCGTGTGCATCTGACTGGCCCTGCAGGTCGGGGTGGTGCTGTGCACCTGTGGTGGGTGATTTGGGGGAAGGGCAGGCTACTCTGGGCTGGGCAGGGGATTTCCTTTCCTCTTGGGTCTCTCCCAGCCAGGTGGGGCCAGAGTGGAAGAGGTGGCCCATTAACGCTACCTTTGCTATTTCCACCAGACCACCTCTCCCTTCTCCCCTTTCTACCCCTTCTCTCCCCACTCCTTCCCCGCTTCTCTCTCCAGAGGGATCTGGGGGTTAGGTGGAGGCCAGGCTGGCAGCCCTGCCAGGGAGAGTGGGCCATACCTTCTGGGCCAGGCAGTGGCCCCTGCTGCCCAGCAGCTGTTTCCCACCCCCTCCCTCAGCGCAGATGGGGAGTGGAGGCCGGCACTCCATCTGCTCCCCTAAGACTCACACCTCCCCCACTCCCAGCTCTTCTTTCTCACTTCCTTAAAAATCTCTCCCAAGTCTCCTGCTGTCCCTAGTGGAATCAAGGGACCAGAGGGAGTCTCAGAGTAACAGTAATAATATTTATTCCCACGGTCAGACCCCATGTTAAGATCTTCACACATATGATCTCGTTGGATCCTCTCAACAACCCCGGTTTATAGAGAGGAATTTGAAGTCCAGAGAGGATGAGGGACCTGCCCAAATCACAGTAAGAGGTGGGGCCGGCACTAGATCCTGGGCAGTCGGGCTCCAAAGCCCAAGCTCTTTACCCTTTGAACTCCTGCCACTCTGGCTTCCCACACCACTAGGTCCAAGAATTGAGGCCCAAAGAGGGCAGGGAGATGACCGAGACCACGCAGCAAGTTAGGAGCAGAGCCAGGGCCAAAGCTCAGTTTTCTCACTGGCCAGTCATGAGATCCTTTCTTCTCTTGACAGAGAAGGGTCTGTTTTGTCCTAGATGCCCTTGACCGAGAGATGACAGGGCACAGTAGAGGACAGGCTTGGGGCGGATAGGCCTCAGTTTGAATCCTGCAGCGAGAAGGGTGAGGCCTGGAGCAAGTTGCTCAGCCCCTCAGAGCCGGGCCTCCTGGAGCGTGGCGAGCGTAGCACCGCCATCTTCGCTGAGCTGAAGCAGAGTAGCGGGCACATCCGACAGCCTGTCCTGACCCGCCTCCCTCTCTGCCCGCCCTGCAGCAGCGGCCCCTGAAACAGTCCCTGGGAAGCTCCCTGTGCCGCGAGTCGCACTGGAAGTGCCTGCTCCTCACGCTGCTCATCCACGCCTGCGGTGCCGTGGTGGCCTGGTGTCGCCTGGCCACAGTGCCACGGCTGGTTCTGGGGCCCGAGGCAGTCCTGGCCCGTGGAGCTGGGGGCCCGCCGCCCACCTACCCAGCCAGCCCCTGCTCTGATGGCTACCTGTACATCCCACTGGCCTTCGTCTCCCTCCTCTACCTCCTCTACCTGGCCGAGTGCTGGCACTGTCACGTGCGGTCATGCCAGGCGCCGCGCACTGACGCCAACACCGTGCTTGCTCTGATCCACCGGCTGCAGCAGGCGCCCCCCTGTGTCTGGTGGAAGGCTACCAGCTACCACTATGTGCGGCGCACCCGCCAGATCACCCGCTACCGGAACGGCGACGCCTACACCACCACGCAGGTGTACCACGAGAGGGCTGACAGTCGCACGGCCCGGGGCGAGTTTGACTACTCAGCCCACGGCGTCCGCGATGTCTCCAAGGAGCTCGTGGGCCTGGCCGACCACGCGGCCACGCGGCTGCGCTTCACCAAGTGCTTCAGCTTCGGCAGCGCCGAGGCCGAGGCTTCGTACCTCACCCAGAGGGCCCGCTTCTTCAGCGCCAACGAAGGCCTGGACGACTACCTGGAGGCCCGCGAGGGCATGCACCTGAAGGACGTGGACTTCCGGGAATCTCTCATGGTCTTCGCGGACCCCCGCAGCCCGCCCTGGTATGCCCGTGCCTGGGTCTTCTGGCTGGTGTCAGCGGCCACGCTGTCCTGGCCGCTGCGCGTGGTGGCGGCCTACGGCACCGCGCACGTGCACTACCAGGTGGAGAAGCTTTTTGGCGCCAGCTCACCCCCACCTGGGGCAGTGCCCAGCGGACCCCCGCTCTCCCGTGTGGCCACGGTGGACTTCACTGAGCTCGAGTGGCACATCTGCTCCAACCGGCAGCTGGTGCCCAGCTACTCAGAGGCCGTGGTCATGGGCGCCAGCTCGGGCGCCTACCTCCGCGGCTGCCAGCGCTGCCGCCGCTCGGTCAGCAGCAACTCGCTGCCCCCTGGCCGGCCCAGTGGGCCCCGCCTGCCTTTTAGCCGCAGCCGCCTCTCCCTGGGAGCTGGGGGCCGGGCCACACCGGGGGTCTTCCGCAGCCTGAGTGGGGGGCCACTGGGGCGCCGTGGAGAGGACACGGAGCCCCTGGAAAGCCCGCCATGCTATGAAGATGCCCTTTACTTCCCGGTGCTCATTGTCCACGGGGACAGCGGCTGCCAGGGGGATGGGCAGGGTGCACTCTGAGATCCCCGTGGCCCCCAGAGCGCCCCCCTCCCCACCATTCCACCAAGGGCTTCGATGCCTGAGTAGTTGTCCAAAACAGGAGGGAACACAGACCAGCACACAAGGGGAGGGTGTGGGGTGGAGTCCTTAAACAGATTAAAATGCAGTGACTCGGGGTCATTTCGGGAGTGAATGGACACCACCGAGGTAGAGTCTATAAACGGTCCCAGCATGGCTCCCGCCCACCACCACCACGTTCCATCCCCTGCAATGGCAGATGATCTGGCTTTGGGCCTCTCCGGCTGGGCAGGGGAGGAAGTTCCCAAAACCTGAGTTGGGGCAGGAGTCCTAGGGAGAGCTGTTGCCCGCAGCAAAGGGCCTCCTGTGGGTCTTCCCTGCATGGCTGAGGCCACATCGGGAGCCCTCGAGCAACCCAGAAGCACAAATCGGTGGATTGGGGCCATGCCCAGCTTGGCTGGCCTCCACGAAGCTGAAGAGCTGGCTATGACAGCACCACAGTCTTCGTCCCTCTACCCACTTCCATTCTGCTCCCCGACAGGTGCCCCCCCTCCGCCCGCCCCCTGGTCTCTCTTTCGGGACCAGTCCCTGATCAGACCCTGCAGTGTGGCCCCTCTACTGGTTCTTGGAGCACAGCCTTGCCCCGCCCCCGTACCTGTTTCCCTGGCGCACCCTCCCCGCCTCACCCAGCTCCCCCTGTAACCTGGGGCTCCTTCTCAGGGCCCCACCTCAATCTCACACCCCCTGGTCTCTACTTCTGCCCCCCAAAGTCCACGTTCGCCTCTGTCAGCCACGCACACACCCTCTGGGCTTTATCTTCATCGCTTCCCCGGACTTCTCTGCTCTTTGCCTTCCTGGTGATCCGCGGGGCCCAGGGCCACAGGGCATCCGAGGGGCCTCAGCCTGACACAGCCTTTTGGACGATGCCCTCGCTCTGCCATGGAGACCCCTGCTTCCCCAATCAGTAGGGCCTGGCTCAGGGGACACCATCCCTCCCCCAGGGAGGAGAGAGTAGTCCCTTCCCTTCCAACTGGGGCTTCCACCCCTCTCAGGGGCTGGTGGGGGAGGGAGGAGGCAGAGAAGATGCAGATAAAATAAAAGGTATAAAATGGAAGGGCTTCTCATGTGCATTCCTGAGTGGCGAATCCAAGGCCACCCCTCTCAGCGCAATGGGCCTGCCTGGGTTCTGGGGAGCGGGGGATGCAGGGTCGGGCTCCAGCGTTCCCAGGAGCAGGGTAAGGTGAGAGGGAACCTCCCAGCCCAGCCTGGGGCCTCTCAGACCAGGTCCAAGTCGCTCAAAGAAGCTGATTTCAACCAATTGGTATCTGGGTCACTTCTAAGGTATTGTCCAAATGGGTCCTTCTTTCAGGCCAGTGAGGGTTTTTTCATTCTGCTGCTCGGTGTGCTGAGGACTAAGGGAGCGTTGACTGGCCCCCAGAGTGAGGACAACGAGCTATAGCCTGTGGCACAAGTCCAGTTCCCTCACTGGCTGTTGGTATTAGTGATCCGGGGGAGTGGGTGCTGAGCTGGTTGGAGGACACAAAGCGGGAAACAGCCATCCCTAAATCAGGGCTTGGGATCCAGAGAGACAACAAGGGCAGAGGAAGGACCTCGCTCACTGGTGGAGCTAGGGAGCTCCTGGCAGTGGCCGCTCACATGGACTGTGCAAGGGCACCAGGCTGAGTGGCTGGTGTGGGTGGAATCCTCAAGCCCTGGCTTGGCACCGGCCTTGAGACTTGCTTTGACCGACAGAATGTGATGCACGTGAGGCTGTGCAACTCCTGAGGCTGGGCCTCAAGTGCCCTCGGAGCTTCCACCTGGGCTGCTTTGGAGCCCTGAGACCGCCACGCTGTGAAGATGCCCAGCCTAGCCTCCTGACAGATGAGAGGTCACGTCCCGGACTGAGGCTCCCAGCCAAGAGCCAGCACCAGCCTCCAGATGCAAGAGTGAGGCCATGTGGACACACCAGCCCCAGTCGAGCCACAAGTGACCACGGCCACAGGGGCAACCCCAGGTGTAACAAGCAAATAAACTACCAAGTTGATTCCAAACCAAATAGCTGACCTACAGAATGGTAAGAAAAAAATAATCCTCATTTTACACTCAAAAGTTGTGGGGTGATGTGTTATGTGCAATGGGTAGCTGATACAAGGCCTGGACCCGCTTCGCGCTCGTGTTGGAGGGTCACTGGGCGTGCACGACCAGATGGGGAAGGGAACCAGAAACTCAGTGTCCACTGGACACCTCCCATCTCCCGGTCTCCTGCTGTCTCTTGTTCACATGTTCACAGTCTGTTACAGCCAACATTGAGCCAGGATGCTCCATTCTAAACGATTCTCGAAAGGAGAATAAGGCCTGGAGAACGGGGCAGAGCCTTGCCCCAAGATGCCAGAGGCCTCTGCCTCTGCTCAGACTGAAGCCTGACACAGCGAGGCCGAAACGGAGCACCTGGCTCCCAACCTGCCCCACACCCTGCTCCCCGCTCAGCATTTCCATCTTCGCCAGCAGTGCTTAAGCCAGACACTGGCACGGATTTCCATCTTCGCCAGCAGTGCTTAAGCCAGACACGGCAATACACTCACTCTCTCTCTCTCTCTCTCTCTCTCTCTCTCTCTCTCTCTCTCTCTCTCTTTTATTTAACTTTGTATTATGTAAAATGTCAAACATCGCTAAGGTGGGGATGTGAGTGGTACAGTGAGGCCCTTTGTACTCAACACCCTGTGCTATGGCTGTTGTCCGCGACCACTCACTTCACCCCCATTAATCCCCGCTCCAGCTGGATTAATTTGAAGGTCTAGAAGTTGTAGCATTTCATCGGAAAGACCTCCCTCACCCCTGACATGAAACCTACCACCCAGGATTCTACCTACCACACATCTCTCTAAACGGCCCCCCGGTCCTCTGTTCCCCCAGCCACCACCCTGCTCCAGGCCCCCAGGGGCTCTCCTCCAATGACTGCTGCAGACTCCAAGAGGCTCCCCTTCCGCACATCCCCTCCAGGCCACACAAAATCATCTTAAAATGTTAATCAAATAATCACATCTCCACCTCACTCAAAACACACCAGTGTCTCTCATCAAATCTGCAACAAAATCCAGCTTCGCAAACATCAAATAAAACCCAGACTCCTGGCCCAGCTCTCAGATCCCTTTGGGATCTGGCAGACATCCCCAAGCTCACCTTGATCCCGCTCACCTTTCCTTACAAAGCCCCAGCTCCAGTGGCCTGTGCCTCATCCCAGAACAAGCTGCTTCCTCCTCTAGATCTCGGCCTGGGCTGTTCCACCTCCCGGAGCAGACTTCCCGCCCCAGGCTCTTCTCTGTTCCCCTCAGCGCTCGGGGCTCGGCTTGTGCGTGGGTCCTGACTGCTCTGTATAAGGCCATCCCCCACTGACCCCCCACTGACCCCGCCACCGTTCTTGAGCTCAGCTCCCCCCCTTTTGCATTTCTTTTCTGCCACTCCCCATAAGTTGCAATTGTTTTTATTTATGTACATATGAATTTATTGTTTGTTTCTTCAATTAGAACTAAAGCTATGGGAGGGAAATGGTTACAGGTGCAGACATTTGCGTCAGACAGAGTCCCGACTCTGTCGCTATGACCTCCGTAGCACTGGGCGAGTCACTCATCCTCTCTTTGCCTCAGTTTTCTCAGCTGCAAAATGGGAGATAATAATAGAATCTACTGACTTCAGAGGGTTGTCATGAGGATTAATAAGATAATATGTTACCACGCTTAAAAGAAGGTCTCAAGCACAGTAAGTGATCAATAAATTTAGCTATAACCAATATTGGTATTATCATTATTAATTATAAATAGGCACTCCGTATTACACACAAGCATGCAGCCAGCACAGTGCCTGGCACACAATGGATGTCCAGCCAATATGCGCTAAGGGCATGATTCCTGAGCTCCTACCAGCACCTCCAGCATCCCGGGGGTGCTGGGCCTAGAGGATGCAGTAGTGGAGACGCTTACCCGTGGCCCAGACCAGCCAAAGGAGCTTTGCATCATTGAGCCTCCTTCGAAGTGGAGCTTTACGATTCTTGGATAATGGGCCAAGAAGGACACCCAGGGAAATGTATGCCGAGGCCCCAGTCCAGAGCCAACCATGAAGTGTCGTGTCTCCTTCATGGATCCAGGCCCGGGACCACTGGGCCCCGAGGTGGCAGGCCCCTACATCTTTTGAGATTTTCATCTTCCGTCTTAGGTCACGCTGCTATTTAGTCTCCAGAGCCCACAAATATGAAGTCATCGCCGAGGTGCCCTGGGGCATATCTGGGAAGGACAAAGAGGATCAGGAGTCTAGCCAAAGGTTAGACGCATCCCTGAGTCGGGGTGGGGAAGGGGTACTGCTGCCCTGCTGGGTGTGGGCAAACAGCTCCCCAAAGTCAGATGCAACAGATAGGCCGAACTGCTAGCTGCACACCACGGGCCTGCTGGAGGCTGTACCACGTGTGCTTCAAGGAGGAATTTCTGTCCAGAACGTTGGCTGAGACCAACGTCGGCCAGTTTTCGCTAACCCATTACCATACTCCAAAAGGCAGATGTAGTTTTCTTCTCTTTGCTGTTATAAAAATGTATAAAATGAAACTGACCAAAATAAAAATACCGACTCGTTTCAGTAGAAGAGTTTCAGTTTATGTTATAAAAGCAGAATGCGTCACAAAATATTGCAATAGTATAAAGACTAACATTTTAATAAAGATCAAGTTCAAGCCTCTAAAAAACCTAATAGAATATTTATATAATCATTTAAAAATTCGAACAATATGGACCTTTATAAAGTTAGGAGTCAAGTTCCCTTCTTGGACTGCTTGCTTCTCTAGAAAGCAAGGGGCGGGGGTGCTGGGACTCCCCAGGGGAAGGTGGCAGTGCTGGTAATTTCTGGGACCACCCCCATCCGTGGACATAATGGAAACTCAAATCTCCAGCTTCAACCTGGATCTCTGTTTTGAGGTCCAGATTCAAGCGTCCAGTTACCTTCTTGAACAGATCGCCTGCGTGACGTCCAAACACTGCAAACTCTACAGACCCAAAACTGGCCGTATCATCTAACTCCCCAGAGTGGGTTCTTCTCCTGTGTCTCCGCCCCCTTAAATGGCAAAACCTAGAGGCTCTCCTTCCCCTTCACAGTCAGCCGGTTGCCGGGTCCTGTTCAAATCCACTCGCCAGCGCATGTCGTCTCCTCTCATCCCAAGTCCGCCTCAGCCTGGGTTCAGGTCACCACCCTCTCTTGCCTGGGTGGGGCCCTGAGTGGCCTCACCTTATAGATTCATGCACACATATTTGCATCTCTTATCTAGTTACTTTTGTGTCCCCGATCCCCCGATCCCTCGCGGAGTCGCTAACACATAGTAGTGTCTCCATAAATGAGTGAATGGTTTATTATTTTAGTGGGCTTGGGGTTCCAGTGGCCTCTACTTAACCCTTCCTCCTATAATAACCCTTGTTCCCACAGGGACATGTGGCTCTGTGTGTGTTAAAAGTGTGCTAAGTGACACACACAGGAACCAGGCAAATATCTCTAGGCGGGTGCTCTGTGCCCAAGTCGTGCAGTGGAGCACCTACTAGAGCAGAAAATAAAATCGCCTTCTTAAATTTTTTGCTTATTAGTGAGAGAAACTGCCACTTAAAAAGTTACCTGCCACTCTAAACTCCGCTGGTGGGTCTGTAATCGGAAGCCTTCCCCTCCTCTTCAATCTGCAAAATTGCAGGCGTATGACTCAAGGAAAGCCAGATGGATGCTCCTTCCTTGGAATGTAAATTTTAAGACAAAGTCTTGAGGATTCTGCAAGCAGCTGGGGACAAGCTTCCGGCAGGAGTCTGATTGTGCTGCTCTGGGAGCCCTGCGCCAGCCTCCAGAGCTCCCCTGGCTTCTGCTTGAGTTCAAGGCTGACTTTCAGCCCACAACTCCCCACATCCTACCGAAGATTCCTGTTTCGTCATCAAAGGACCTGATTGGCTGGGGGCCAAGGTGCCCCTGGGAGGAGAGCATTTGAGACTTCCTCTCCTTTTAGGGTTTAAAGTGATTAAACAGCCCCTGATGGCTGGAGATGGACCTCAATTGAGATCAGATGGCAGGAAAGAACTTCAAGGGCCCCCAAGAGAGGGA